TGGTTGGCAGTTGCCATGTGCTTTTTACTCCGGAGAGGGGGGATTTTCTGCTTGGGCAACAGCTTATCCTCCATATTATTTCACCCAGGCTTCATGCCCTGGAAAGGACACTCCAGCTTTGTGTACAGCGTCAAAACACTAGACGCTATTCCAAGTCCTCCATACAGAGCACATTACCATAGTCTCTCGAGACTGAGGAAGGCAATGAGCCAGATGGGCAGTATATAAATGGAAGGAAGGAAGGAAGGAAGGAAGGAAGGAAGGAAGGAAGGTTGGTTATACTAATATATAACCCAAATCAAAGCAGGAAGGTGGGTGTCAATACATCATCCACCACAAAGAATATCCCCTTGTCAGGCCACTGGTGGGTGGGCATGCAGATCACACCTGGATAGATCTGGCTGTGAGCAGAGGGTCAGGGAGTAGTACTCCAGTAACTTGGACAGGCACTGTGTTAGTGCTGTTAGAACATCGCCCATTTATTTATTTAACTCTGGATTTTTGTCATTGTTTGTAACTGCTGGCACTGATTTAAGACTCATGACATCTGGATAGTGGGGAAAACACTCCTCTCAATTAGTGCACAACAAGGTACACAGAAGAAGAAAGTGTTTCACCTGGAATGGAGAGAAATGTTGCTTACAAATTATAATGACCTCACACTCTGACTTTATCCCCAAGCACAAAGGTTAGAGAATGCTGATGAGATCCTTTTTCACAAATGGAAGTGCTGAACTTTCAGTCATGGAAGCCCAGCTCCCCTCCTTCCTCACTCATTATTCCACCTTAGCATTTTCCTAAAATGGCTAGCTAGCTAGCTGGCTGGCTGGCTGGCTGGCTGGCTGGCCGGCTGGCTGGCTCGCGGGCGGAGGGCCCAGCTATGTCCCATGAGAAAATGTGTCCAAAAATTCCCGGATCGCAGGACTGCTCTTGCAAAATCAACATATCAAATCAGAAAACACCTACTGGTTTAGTTTTATGTTCTCCATACAGTGAGGCAGAACTCTCAATGGAAGTCTTTGTAGATGAACTCCCTCTGTACATTTTGAAGCTTGTTTTTCCCCTAGATGTCATATACAATAAAGGCCACAAGGAGAGAACTCATGTATGTAGTTCATCCACATACGTACATCTAATTTTAATAGCATTTGCTAAATTAAATAAAATGTATGCACAAACACAGCACTCAGCAGAAATTTTCAAATTAGTTGATCATTAACACCATATTTGCATTAAGCAAGAAGTATATCTGTACTGAATGACACAAAGTTCAAGGTTTTCTACAGTTCAAGAGTTGGATAAACATTTTTCTCTCTAATTCCTCAATAACACACATATATTTAATCTCATCCAGTAACAGTTAAACTCCCAATCACTTTAACAAAACTTATACCCAGGTAAATGCATATAGAAATTTAACCTTTCTTTGCTATCCTTGTGGTGATACCCTGTTTTCCCGAAAATGAGACCTAACCTGAAGATAAGCCCTCGTTTGATTTTTCAGGATGCTTGTAATATAAGCCCTACCCCAAAAATAAGCCCCAGTTAAGTGAAACCCCACCCTCCACCATTGTGCTTTAACCAGAAGAAGATGGCATGGCAGTATGAATAAATGTAGATTGTTGTACATTAAAACAATAAAACATCTCCTGAAAAATAAGCCCTAAAGCATCTTTTGGAGCAAAAATTTATATAAGACCCTGTATTATTTTCAAGGAAACACTGTACCATCATATAGGGGAATATGCTCTATTAAAAGCAGGCCCCCACCCACCCAAAAAACTGTTCTTCCTTCCTTCCTTCCTTCCTTCCTTCCTTCCTTCCTTCATTCATTCATTCCTTCCTTCCTTTCTTTCTAACTGGGGCAAAATCCATAAGGAGGATCTAGCTACTCTTCTGCCTACCACCATATCAGTCACTACAGAGGTCATCAGTCCCTATGGAAGTTATCAGGACATAAGTCTAAATATACTTTCTTCACCTTCTCTCTTTCTCTCTCCATACAGTGATTTAAGCCACAGATATGCCACTCACTGTAATGGAGTTTACTTATATTCTGAATAAACAGACTCACAATTATAATGTATGCCCATAAAAGATTCAGATAGCAAAACTCACCTCTACAGTCTCTGGGTGCAACAGGACCAAGAAGGGCAGAGGTCCTATCCAAAGTTTGACCAGCTTAAGATTCTGTACTTCTTTTAAATGGTCAAGCAACTGCCTAAAGAAAGCTGGAAGACAAGCATCCTGTTTCAAAATGATGAATTGAATGATCCCATATCTTCATCAGACTGTAAATGGCTATGGCAGAAATAGTGTATAGTCCCAGCAAACATCAGGGCTTCACTCAACACATGGAGTTAGCAGAAGGAGCCAATGCCAACATTATAGTTCTACCCTATCAATGTATGATGCCCTTATAATAATAGCCCGCTGCACTGCAAATGGTTGCCAGCAGATCCAGAATCTGGCAGCCAGGGGCTCGTAAGTTCTATCACATTTCCCTGATTCTGGCTCGCCTGCATTGGCTTCCTCTTAGCTTTCGTGCCAGATTCAAGGTATTAATCATAACTTATAAAGCCCTTGATGGTCTGAGACCTTGTTATCTGCCGGAGCATCTCTCCTCAAGAGTATCTACCCAGTTAACCCAATCCTCCCAGTCCTTACTATTGAGGATGCCTACCCCAAGAGAAGCAAAGTTCCGCCAGGAATCAAGTGTTTCAGTAGTGGCACCTTCTTTATGGAATAGACTTCCTTTGGAAGTCTCCCTCCAACAAACTTTTAGAAGACTGGTTAAGACCTGTGATCCATATTCTGTTAAATTCTGTTATATTTTGCTACCTTGTGTTTATTCAGTTTATGTGGTTTATTGTAATTTTGTTACAGTTTATTTTCATTGCAGGTGTCACCAGGTGTTTCCTTTTTCAGTTAGTGTTTCTTTGATTTATCTAGTGAGATGGGTTTATATCATGCTGGTTGATGTTATGTAACACGCACAACCATGTTCCCTCCAACTTCATCCCTGCAATTTTCATCCCAAACCCAGAGGTAAACTGGCATTGACACCTGTTGCCACTGTGCAGCACCAATGGAGTTTGACACATGGACACACCTTAGAGGGAACATTCCCTCCCCTGTGTAGTGATCTCAGTAAATGGGGTAGTATATGAGCTAAATATCTGTCTGTCTGTCTGTCTGTCTGTCTGTCTGTCTGTCTGTCTGTCTGTCTGTCTGTCTGTCTGTCTGTCTGTCTGTCTGATATACCACTCATATATTGAAGGGTAGATGAATGATCAAAATTTAATTTCCCACCAGTTGAACTTAGTTGAATAGGGTCAAAGACCACAATTTGAATTGGAATCATAACACCAGAAGTTATATCTTTCATTTTGATACTTCCTGATAATAACTATCCAAGTATAACTGAGCAAATGTTTCTGTTGCAAGTACACAGATAAAACACAGAGCTACACAAAATGGCAACTGAGAAAGAGCAACCTTTTGAGAGGATTTTGCTGACATTTGTAGCAAACCTTAAACAAATGTCAGAATCCTGCATTTCTGAGGAAAGAACTAGTGAATAAAACTACCATTAAATCCCATAGCCAGTGGTCAATTATTATCAAAGCTGTCATCCAAAATATCTGGAGACAGACTGCTTCTGTCATCTTTTGGAAATGAAGCATAATTGCCTCCGGTATTACCAGAGTAATACCATCCTCCTTCATGGATTGCTGCCTTGTCGCTTATTATGCTACAGATAGTAAAGCACCGGACAGAATATGGCTTGCTAATTTATGGTTATGAATGCTTTGCCAAAAACATGCTACACAAATAACCTCAAGTCAGGAGTGAAGACCTTTTTAAAGCTAGGCCAGTTGAATTGCAACAGCTCACTGCTGGTTGCAGCTACTCCTGCGCCCAAAATCCATCTAAACTAATAAGGAAATATACATACAATACACACACAGACACACAGACACACACACATTTCCAGAGAGTTTGATCACCATGTGAAAACAAGTTCAATATAGGTGGGAGTTTCTTAAAAAGGTAATTCTAAAGGCACAGCTGGAAAAAAAAAATCCAACAAGAAAAAAAGGTGGAAGGCAGCAAAAGAGACCAATACGGTTTCACAAAAAACTCAGAGAGGACCAGAAAATAAAAAAGACACACATAGGAAGTGGAAGGCAGGCCAGGACGGTTTCACAAAAAGCTCAGAGAGGACCTGAAAATAAAAAAGGACACACATAGGAAGTGGAAGGCAGGCCAGGCCACAAAAGAATAAGTAGTACAAACAAGCAGCAAAGAATTGAGGGGCAGCATTAGGAACACAAAAGCCGAGAATGAGCTGAGGTTAGCAGGAGCGATGTTGAAAGCAACAATAAAGCATTCTTCAGGCACATGCCTAGCAAAAGACAGACAAGAAATAGTGACTCAATCGGGTGGAAAAAAAATTATAACAAGTGACAAAGATGATGTTGAAAGCAACAATAAAGCATTTTTCAGGCACATGCCTAGCAAAAGGCAGAGACAAGAAATAGTGACTCAATCGGATGGAAAAAAAATTATAACAAGTGACAAAGAAAAGGCAGAGATGCTCAATTCCTATAGCTCAGTCTCTCCTCACAAAACAGTCTATGACCCTCCAGACAGATATGAATGGAAATCACAGGGTTGCAGTTTGAGATTGATAAAGAAGTAGTAGAAGAAAACATTGTTACTCTGAATGAGCTCTACTCTCCAGGGCCAGATGAACTATATCCAAGTTTATTAAAAGCACTGGAAGAAGAACTTTTGGGACCACTATCTATTATCTTCGTGAAATCAGAGAGAATAGATGAAGTGCTGGATGATTAGAAGAGGGTTAACATTGTCCCTATCTTCAAAACAGAGCAAATGGGAGGAATCTGAGAACTAGACACTACTCAGCTTGACATCAATCCCGGGGAAAATTCTGCAGAAGATTATACAGCAGTCCCTTGGGCGAAAATGCAGTAATAACCAGAAGCAAACACAGATTTGTCAAGAGCAAATTATGCCAGACTAATCTGTGGGTTTTTTTCCTGATTGGGTAACCTCTCTGGTAGATGGTGGGAATGCTGTAGATGTCATATATCTTGGCTTCAGCAAAGCTTTTGACAAAGTGTCTCATGATTACCAAGCTGATTAATGGATAGAACAATCCACAGGTAGATATACAGTTAGTTGCACAATTGTATTCAGAGAATGCTTACCAAAGGCTCCTTCTCAAACTGGGAGGAGTAACAACTGGGGTACCACAAGGCTCAGTGGCAATGGCTTTAATATTTTTAACATCTGAATATTTTGATTTTAAATTATTTTTTATTTAAAATTGTTTTAAATAGCTTATGTTTTAAGTTTGTTTTAAACAACTTTGTAACCTATCTTGAGATTCTGTGATATAGGGTGGGTTATAAATATTTAAATTAAAAATATTAATACAGTAAAATACAATTCCATCCCAGCAACTATTTTAGATCAGCATACCACTCCAAAAAGTAAACTTGTAAAAGAAACACCCTTTCATTGGCTCATTGAGGCATATACAACAGCATGGTTTAAAATGTTAAAATAGAAACTAGTTGCTCTTTTTGATTAAAAAGGGGGGGGGAGAGATTAGCCCAAATCATTTGAGTGCCCCAGCACCATAGGAAAGCACTCCAGTTTGGAATACACAGTGCTAATTAAAGTTTTTTTCCCAGAGACAGCCAGGCCAGTCTGTTTCAGGAACAACTTTAACAAAAACAGAAAACAAAAGCATTGCAACATCTTTCAGATGTTCATTTTACTGAGGGCTTTTGTGGATCACTACCCGCTTCTTCAGAGGCCTCATTAAAGCAGACTGTAGTAAACATGCAACGATTAAGAAAAGTTCAGATGTTCAAACAGGGCGCGGGAGGTTGCTCTGTCAGCCTCAGGGGGAGAAACCAAAAACCTTCTCCAAAAACTATTTGGCACAAGTTTGCACAGACAGGTCGAGCACACGTGTCAAACCGGGCTGCCGTTCAAAAGACAAATAAAAAGTTCTAACTTCAACGAGTCACGAGAGCCTCTTATTTTTCAGGAAGCAGCGAGTGCTGAAACTGAGGAACTGGACAGCAAAGAGAAGCACCGGCCTGTTTTCTTTCTGTTTCTACTCTCTTAAGCGAGGCCGTTTACAGCCCTCTCCCTCCATGAGGCTAAGCAAGGCTTCCTGAGGAAATGTACACGACGCGCAAGGACCCGTCCTCCAGCCCTGAAATATGGGGGTCCCGAGTGTATTTGGCTTTTCCTTTCCTGCCTCCTTCCATACTTCGGAAAGCTCCTTCCTCCCGCCCTTCTGAGGAATAACGGAGCCCTCCCGGGGGGCGGGAACACCCCAAGTTCAGGGCGCGCCTGCCGCGAAGGAGAAGAGGCAGGCGAATCGCCCGTCCTTTTTGGAGGGGGGAGGGAAAAGAGGCGCGCGGCTGCCTTTACCTTCCCCATCGCGTTCAAAAAGCAAAGTGTTGCCCACGAGGGGGTAGCAGGGGCTGATCCCGGGGACGAGCTTTAGCTCCTTCCACTTCCGAAAGCTGTCGAGCAGCAACCGGGAGGTGAAGGTGGCCAACAGGCTGACGAGCAACACTGCGGCGACAGAGCCCCAGGAGATGAGCCGGCCGCCCTCGAGGGCCGCCTGCAGGAACCCCATCGGCTCCAGCTGCATCTCTCCTGCAGCAGCAGCAGCAGCAGCGGGAGGCGACGGCGGCGCCGAGAGGCCAACGACCTGCCCGTTGCTCCCGGGAAGCGTATTGTTTTGTCTAGGAAACGGGCGGAGTCGCGGGGGGCCGGGCGGAGGGAGGGCAGAAGCCGACGACGGCCGAAAGAGGAAGAGAGCGGAGGCCTGAGCAATCATTGGCTTGGCCAAAAAAACCGCTTGGGCCGAGGGGGAGGAAGCGAGGCAAGCCCGAGCCGCCTCTCCCTCCCTCTCAGAGGCACACACACCCCTCGTGCAAAACCCCAGCAGGGAGGGAGGGACGCAGCCTTTTTCTTCTTCGTCGTCTTCATTTTTACAGCGGTTGGAGTGTGTGCTGTGTGTGATGTGATCGCCGACTCCCAATCCCTTGTAAGTGGAAAGGAACATTACGAATGAGGACTAGGGAGTCGTGAAGCTGTGCATGACTGGTTACCAGCCATGCATATTGCCTCATGACAGCCTTCTCTGCGATGGTGACATATATTGTACGTACTCTAAAGAAACATTTTCAGTGACACGGTTTCACACTGAACAACATTCCCTTGCTTAAGCAACAGTGTTGTGCCAGTGGTAGCTACGAATGCTCCAATTCAAAATGCTATCCAGGGAGAAGACTCTGTGCTTCCACTGGAATTGCAATGGAATTCAGCTAGCCAATTACTCAATTGAATTGTATGATTCCCTGTTCCTGGGTATAATGCCCAGTACATTTATGTGGGTGCAACATGATGCTATGTCTGTACAAACAGGATTTTCCCCATTGTTTTTACACTAGAAAAGACAAGCTCAAAAGTGTAGCTTGCCTTGAGGCAAGATGCAGCACAAGCACTTGATGGCTATAAAGCAAATTCTGATAGTATGAGCCAGACTTCTTGGAAAGCCTATCAACATAACCATCATTCAAGCCTATGTTCCAACTACACAGGCCCAAGAAGGAGGAAGAAAGAAGAGGAAAACAAGATATTTGTCCCATAAAATCCAGAAGAGTAGCCTTGAAGAAATTAGAAAAAATAAGGAATTGTAATAATTTGTCATTGGGCACCAAAGCCAAGATAATCCACACACTACTGTGCTCCCATTTGCTACGTGCAAATGGGAAGGCTGGACAGTAAAGAAAGGCAACAGAAAAATTATTAGTTTATTCAAGATGTGGCACTGCAGGAGAGTGTGGTGGATAACATGGAACCACAGAAAGAAAAACAAATTCATCCTAGATCTAATCTTTAAAAGCAAACATGGCAAAAATTGAGACTGCTATACTTTGGACACATCTTCAGAAGATGAGACTGGCTGAAAAAAGACAATAATGCTACCCAATAATGTTTCCCCAAAAATAAGACAGGGTCTTATATTAATTTTTGCTCCAAAATGCATTAGGGCTTATTTTCAGGGGATGTTTTATTTTTTTTGATGTACAGCAACCTACATTTATTCATGTACAGTCATGTCATCTTCTTCTGGTTGCTGCACAATGGTGGAGGGCAGGGCTTCACTTAACAGGGGCTTATTTTGGGGGTAGGGCTTGTATTATGAGCATCCTGAAAAATCACACTAGGGCTTATTTTTATTTTTGGGGAAACAGGTGTGTCCCCAAATTATTTCACTAGCCTGAGGTCCACGACATGTTCTCTCCTTTATGCTGCCACCAGTTGACCTCTGTCAACACTCTTTAATTAGAAAGACTGAGGTCTATGCTGAGTATGAAGTTGAACAAAACAGGTTTATTGGTTACAATTTACTTAAGCAGGTTCTTCACTGCCTTTAAAGTATTCATTAGATTAGTAATAACTTGCTCCACACTTAACTCTCTTAGCTTTCTATAAGTTCCACACTCTTAACTGCTACATTAACACCTCACTATACCACACTCTCTAACTCCCACAGATTAACTTTTATTTTGGACTCTCATCTCTGACTCTAACTCCCTAACTCCCTCCCAAAACTCATATTCTCTGCCTCACCCCTCCCTTCTGGTTCCTCTGGCTCTGCCTCCCAACAGCTCCCATTGGTCCATGCAAATAATCTCCTACATGAGCCAAAGCAGGGTGATTGCCACAGTCCTCCCCCCTTAATAAGTTTGTTTTATGAGGGGAAACCCATCAGTTTGCTCTCATAAACAAACAGCTAAGTACATGCAAACTTAACAACAACTTATCAATACTTATACATACCTTATAAGACAATTTTCTCTCTACAGTGTATTACCATGTTTAGTAAATAAAACTTACCACTTTAAACATTTAAGACAATTGATATAGTTAAAATATTTGCATTTAACATGTTTTTCCCCCTCTAATCATTAGGTCTTCAGGACAAAGTGTCCGCAACCACATTCAGGGACATTTTGACACTTCTGCTTTCAAAATCTGTGTCCTGTAGAATCAGGGCCCATCGGGTCAATTTATTACTGTTAGATTGCATAGTCCTCATCCATTTTAAAGGTAAGTGATCAGTGCAGAGAATGAATTTCCATCCCCATATGTCGGGGTTTAGTTTCTGCAGTGTCCAAACAATGGCTAAACATTCCCTGTCAATGGTCGATGAATGAATTTCACTAGTTTGGAGCTTTTTGCTCACATACATTACTGGATGTAAAGTCGCACTGTCATCTGATTGGCACAGTACAAGTCCGACGTTGAATGCATCAGTGTAGATGAATTCCTTGGTGAAGTTCAGTGCAACAAGAACAAACTTTGATGTCAGCCCTGTCTTAAGATGGTTGAAGGCATCCTGGAACTCTGGAGTCCACGAGATGTTTTCCACTTCTTCTTTTTGGTTAAATTGGACAATGGTGCGGCGATTTTGCTGAAATTGGGTACAAAGCGCCTATAATAGCCAGCTAGTCCAAGGAAAGCTCAGATTTTCTTTTTGGAATTTGGGATGAGCCACGTATCAATAGTCTCTATCTTTCCATCTAGGGGTTTGATCATCCCTCGTCCCACTAAATGTCTTTCAGTTAACAGAAGCGTATTCCTTTTTATAAGTCTTAACTTTAATACTTCCTCTCCAGGATTGAAAGTTCCTCCAGCATTTCTGTCATCCAAAGTTTTCTGTTTATTTTGGACACCCTTCAAATTTTCCCCTGCTATTTCTAGGGATCTTTGTATGGCAGTCATCAGATTGTCCCAATCATTAGGGTTTTCTACCACATATGCCTGTATTATCCTCATTAAAATTCTATTGAATTTTTCTATTAGCCTATTTGCTTATGGATAGTAAGGGGACGATGTTACATGAGAAATACCAGACTTGTCACAGCCTCTTCATTAATTTAAAGGTGAAGGAGGTTCCTAGATCCATGACTATCTTGGACGCAAATTCCATTCTACACATGTAACTGATCAAAGTGTCTGCCACTGTCTCAGTCTCAATGTTACATGAAGGTACGGCTTCAGGGTACCTAGCGGCAAAATCAATAATGGACAGAATACTTGTTTCCCCTTTTGGTGGCTCGTAGTAAGGGTCCTACTAGATCCAAACCTAAATGTTGAAACAGGGTTCAAATAATGAGTAATGGGCACAGCTTAGCTTTAGTTTTGTCATTTCTGGTACATCTCCTTTGGCACATATCACATGTCTGACAGTACTGCCTAATTTGCTGCCACATTCCTGGACAATAAAAGTTTTGTGCAACCCTTTGTTTTATGTGAGAGGCACCCATGTGTGCTCCAAACACATCTTTATGAGTTTTCTCTAAGATCTTCTCTCTATACTTTACAGGGACAAGTAATTGTTTGAGATGTCTATCTCCACTCCTATGAGGTGCTAGTAAAACTTGTCTATACTGTATATCAGGTTTTTATCAACTATAAATTTCATTAGGTGTTCAGGTGTCAACGGGGAGATTCCATGGCTTTTTCCAAACACGGAATCAAGGTGGTATCTTCCTTCTGTTCTATAATAAAGGAGGTATTACTAGGATTTTTCAACAATACTACTTCAGCCATTTCTGTCACATCAGGGTTTCCCTCTAAACTGGGACATTCCAGGTTGGTTTCAGAGGTCAGGGATCCCAATTCTTCCTCAGAGACTATAAATTGCTTGCGCTGGGAGAGGGTTACCACTAAAACACTCTGCACATTCTTGGAGAGATCTAAGGTGATCAAACAAGGAGCAGGGATTTGGTCCGACACTGCTACCTTCTATGTATCAGACCACCCCTGGTATTTCACTGCCACTCTAGCCATTGGCAGAACCACCGTGTCTGAGCTAATGCCTTTGAGGGTGATGTTTTATTTCAACATATTCTCTTTAGGAATTATGTCTGAGTGACAAATAGTCTGGGAACAAGTATCTTTTAAACCCAAATACTTTACATTGTCAATAGAAATAGACTCTCCAGAGTTATTCAATAAATCCTGATCACACTTGATAGGAAACATTGTAACACTATCACTTCAGGAATGTCTGGGCTCTCTTAGCAACCGTGCTGTGGTGGGAAGAGTCCTCGGCTTCAACTGCTGATTGCTGTGCCTTATTATACTGCACGCAAAATACCTTTTTAGGCTGAATGTAATTTCCACCTTTAGGTTAACTAAAATCCCTTTTCTTTTGAGTTTCACACTGTGCTCAAAAATGGCCTTTCTCCCCACACACATAATATTATTTACTGGCCTTGGGTTTAAAATAAAGGGCCTTATTAACCTTTCCCTCAGGACTATTAGGTTTCAGGGGACTGTGCTCTGGGTATGAGGGTTTATCTCTAAAATGGCTTCCATTTGCTTTGGTATTTCTGAGGTAATCTCTACTGGATGGGGGCACTCTCCTCCTGTCATCTCAACCTTTTCTA